TATCTACCTGGCAGCTTAGGGGGAGTGGGCCTAAGCCAGCAACCGGCCATCCCCTGAGGGCTACTTAGCGCTGCCACGAGGTGGGAGAGGCTTCCATCACCAACACTGCGCTTGTCAGCCATGAGCCTGGCTTCTGGATGAGTGGCGCTCCCTCTGTGGGAGTGCACTGACCACCAGGGGGCAGCTCCTGCATTGAGCGTCTGACCCCTGGTGGTCAGTGTGCATCATAGCAAACAGTTGTTCCGCTGTTCAATCAATTTGCATATTAGCCTTTTATTATATAGGACAAGCCACTTTTCTTCTTAAAAAGTGACTCTATCAAAAGACAAATGAAAAAAGTAAGTAAAATTATAAATCTGGATGTGTAATATGTGATATATATATATATATATATATAGATTGCCCCCCAAAATGTATACACACTCAACAGCTGATAGCTCAGTTGATGTTTCTTTCTTTTGAGATTTAACCCATTGGAATGAATAATTGTTCATAGTGTGCAATTTTTTTTGGGACAATATATATATATATATATATATATATATATATATATATATATATATATATTTGGGGACTATACATATCTTTGGAAACAAATTTTTACTCCAACTCATTTTCTTTCTTTCTTAGTCCCCCATGCTATTTATTCCAGTTAAAGTGGTTGCAGCCTGAAACAAAAATGCCCCCCCTTGGGACTTCTTGTTTTAAAAACCCTTTTTTCAAAGGATTTGTTTTCTTAGACTTGGAAGCTGTTGAAAGGGGCCAGATGGATAGCCTTGGAAGCTGTTTATCTGCAGAGGAGAGCAGGTGTAGATGGGCATCCTGGACTTCCCACGCAGCACAGCTTCCAACTCATGCCCTCCTGGGCGACAGCTAATATTAAGTGGGGAAGTTTAGAGGACTCCCTGAAATAAAAGTGGACACTACAAGTCAGCAGCACATTCCTCTCCTGTCACCGTTGTTGTTGATATTACAGGCTAAGACCCTCCCACCTGATACTCCTTAAAGTCTGATATTAAGGAGGATATTGGAGGATGCAGTGCAGTGTGGGAATGCAGGAGGAAGGGCAGAGTAGGTGACAGAGTAGTGAGGATGGTGAAATATTGTCTGGAGTTGCCTTTCCATACAATGCTATCTGCATTTTGTGATATCTTCTCTTTGTACATATGTGGGAAAGACCAAACCATCCCTCAAACATTAGCCCTAGCCTTACCGAGTTTCTGAACCAAAAGTAGTATCCACCTTTTCCCAGATTTCTTGTTTTAGGAGAAAAAAAAAATGTATTACTTCTGTTATTACTTGGATTCTCCTTTATTTGTGGCAGAAGCATTCATTCCTAACTGGATCAGGAGGAGAAAGGGAACTGGAAGAAGTTTGTATGAAACAGATATTGAATAAACCACGTTTAAAATCATCAGCAGTGTCTGGCACATAGTAAGTGCACAATAAATATTTTAAAAAGAAATATGGATAAATATATGAATCTTGCAGGACTTTTGTGGATATAAATTGACATGAAATAATTCCTCTAAAACTTCAGCTACAGTACTATTTTCAATTTTGATTTAGGGCTATCGAGGATTCATGCACTGGGGGAAGGGGGTTCCCTTGGCCTGGCCTTCACCCTCTTGCAATCTGGAACCTGAGAAGATGCTAATGAAACCCTGCTGATTTTGTAGAAGAATTTATTATAAATTATGGCAAAGCTTCTTTGAAAGCAATTATACCACTGGGGCGGGGGAGGAGGGGACTTCTGATCCAGCCATCCCTAGCATAGTTTGCAAATGCCTGTTACATCCTATATAATAAAAGCTAATATGCAAATTGACCCAACGGTGGAATGACGGTCACTATGATGCTCACTGACCACTAGGGGGCAGATACTCAATGCAGGAGCTGCCCCCTGGTGGTCACTGTGCTCTCACAGCGGAAGCAAGGCTCAGCCAGAAGCCCTGAGCTGGGCTCATGACTGGTGAGCACAGTGGCGGGACCGGGCCTCTCCCACCTCCACGGCAGCACTAAGGATGTCCGGTGACAGCCTAAGGGATCGGGCCTAAGCCGGCAGTCAGACATCCCCTGAGGGGTCCTGGATTGCAAGAGGAAGATGAAGTTCTAACATTTCAGTTTCCTTGGAAGATGAGTAGACAGTTTCAATAATTTTTTGTCCATATTTTGTGACATCAATGATACCAAATCATATATATTAGTGATCAGGAAATGAAATGTGTATTTACAAATAATTGCCTGATATTAATTTTGTGATGAGGAAGAGGGCTACAATTAAATAGAAATGTCTTCTCCTTCCTCTCTCTCCACCCTCCCCAAAACAAAAAATTTCTTGAGATTGTAAAAAATAGAAATCCCGATAGAAACTGCATAACATAATGGAGTATTTTGTTCATTTTTCATTTAATAATAGTCATAAATAATAACCAAATATTAGAGACTGCAAACCTTGAAAGGACAGAGTTCTTTTAGTTCATGGACTTGCACACTTTGTCCTTGGCTTCTCTCAAAGTGTGAGATTATGAGAGAGACTAGCTGTGACAAGACTTAAGGGGAGAAAAAGATCCTGATTACTGCTAGAAATATAGCCAATGAGAGCCGTAATAGAAAAGAATATCTCAACTGGAGAAAATAACCCAGCTTTCCCATGCACATGAGCAACTCCCTGGTGGGTTGATTTTGTGAGTCAATCAGACCCAAGTATAGGTTTAGAGATTACAAAGAAAATATTATAAATACATTTGTAGGTCAGAAGTATCTCACTTGGTCTGAATTAACAGCTTTTCTTTTTTGCTCATTTTCATTATTGGTGTGTGTGTGTGTGTGTGTGTGTGTGTTTCTTTCTTTGATTAGTAATGCACTTATTAATTTTGATACAATGTAATTTTAGAAATACATATTGCATTTACTCAGATTTTTGAATTGACTTTATTAATACTCTCTCCCTTCTTTAAAAGGCTAGATGTTTGTTTCATAGGCTTTTGGTAAAAGTCACTCGTTAATTCAGCCATTAGTTGTTGAAAATCTACTGTGTGCTCAAGGCACCTTGAACTTCCTAAAGCTGAATAAAATGTGGCCCTTGATGCTTGAGTCTTGGTATGTTATCTTGCCAAGAAGCAGCTGATTTTTAACAAGATGATAACAGCTCTGGTTGCATACCAGAATCACATGCGAAGCTTGTTAGAAATACACCTGCCCAAGATCCAGCTCTCAGCTTAGGAAAATTCTGATAACAGGTAGGGCCTGAGGTGTGTGCAATTTCAACAACAAGCTCCCAAAGTGAACATAATACATAAAGCAGGATTAGGAACCAATTTTAATTAAGAAAGGACTAACTGCAGTAGTTCAGCCACAAGTCAACCAGGTGAATGTCCTTGAGATCTTCAGCAGCTGGCTGAAGTCGTTTGTTTATAAGGCTGTTTTTTTCTCTATTTCCACTGCTTCAGAGTGGGTAGTTCCAGGCTGAAAAGCACGCCAGAGGAATGGGTGGGCCCCATCTTTTTTGTAAAACCCCTGGAACAAGTCTGTTATGGAGAAATAAGATTGCTACAGCCAAAGATCATCTCCAAAGCCTTCCCACTCTGTCCTTATTTCCATCTCACACGAAATCTTCTTATTTGTGTAAATTTTCTCCTTCAGTAGATGGTGAAGCACTCCAAAGCGGGAACAATCCTCTTTCTCCCACTAAGGAACACAGTCACCCATACAGAATAGGCACTGACAGGTGTTTGTGTTGAACTGAATTAAATCCTCATCCACCACCATATAGGTATGCATCTATTCATAGTGGACATTTATACATATCCATAAAAGTGTACGTTTGTTTAAAAAACATGTCAATCACACAAAAGAATATGCAACATACATAAGAAAGAACAATAAGCCGAAACCAGTTTGGTTCAGTGGATAGAGCCTCGGCCTGTGGGCTGAAAGATCCCAGGTTCGATTCCGGTGGAGAGCATGTACCTTGGTTGCGGGCACATCACCAGTGGGGAGTGTGCAGGAGGCAGCTGATTGATGATTCTCTCTTATCGATGTTTCTAACTCTCTATCCCTCTCTCTTCCTCTCTGTAAAAAATCAATAAAATATACATTAAAAAAAACACACCACAATAAACAAGCACCCTGGACTCACATCCCAGTTGATGAAAGAGGAAGTTGCCAATACCTTCGCGTTCCCTTTGGAACAATAACAGGCTTCTGAAACTTAAATCAGAGTGCATCCATCCCATCATTGATGGATTGGATCATCCGTTCATTGGTCCAAGGTGTCAGCATGGATGATGATGACCAGGTGATTATTTCTTCTGTTGGCGTGAGCTGGGTCAAAGTGGCCCGAGCTCTCTCTCTCTCTCGAGACGTGCAGACTGCCTTTGCTGCTAGCAGTGCTGACCCCGCGGGGTCCTCTCCAGCCCGCGGGGTGCGGGCGCGCGGACACTTTGGGCCGGAACTACGCGTCCCGGCAGCCCGCGGGGCGGGTGGGCGGGGCCGGGGCCGGGGGCGGGGGCCGGGCGAGCGGGGGCATTGTGTCGGCAGCGCCGGGGCCGCATTTGTCTGCTCGAGGTGCCGGCGGCCGGAGCGAGCCTGGTGTTCGGCGGCCGCGAGCTGCAAGTGTCATCGGCGGCCGCGGCCCCGGGAGGAGGAGACCGAGTGGGAGGAAACCTCGTGTCCACGACGCCCGGCCGGGAGCGGCGCGCCCGCGGAGCAGCATGCGGAGCGGCGCCCGGCGCCCTGACCACCCCTCCCGCGGCGGCGAGCCCGGGGCGGCGCGGGGGCGGCGGGCGGCATGAAGGAGGCCGGGGGGCGGCTCGGCTCGGGGCGCTGCTAGGAGCGCAGCCGCGCGCTGCACGGTCGCTGGGCGCAGCGGAGGGCGTGGAGCCGGGCGGGTCGCGCCGGCGAGCGGGAGCCGGTGGCCGGAGCTGGTGCTGATTTCGGGCGCGGACGCTACTAGGGGGCCCGGAGGAGCAGCCCCCGAGCCCCGGCGGGCAGCCGACATGGGCAACGCGGGGAGCATGGATTCGCAGCAGACCGATTTCAGGGCGCACAGCGTGCCTTTGAAGCTGCCGATGCCCGAGCCAGGTGAACTGGAGGAGCGGTTTGCCATCGTGCTGGTGAGTGCGCGGGGCTCCCGGCCGGGCTGCGGCGCAGCGGACCTCCCCCCCCTCCCCTTCTCCCCGCGCGGGGAACCAGCCTCCTGCCCCAGGGGGATGGCGCCCACCTTCTCCAGGGGGGCCTCCCGCGCCTCGCTCCTCTCTGTCCCCCCTTCCAGCCCTCTTGGGGTCCTGGGCTGGGGCCGGGGGCTCGGGGCGGGCTGCCTGGCCGGCTCCGAACCCATTGTCTGGCGGGAGAGGCACCTCGCGGCCGGTGTGCCCGGGCGGTGCGGCGTGGGCGTGAAGGAGAGGGGGCGCGGGCCGGGGAAGAGGGGGCAGCGAGTGGGAAAGCTGATTGTTAAAAACAAAACAAAACACACACAAAAAAAACCCCAAACCGCAAACCCCGCATCGCTCCGGACCCTCCCGGCCCGCGGGGGCCGGGCCGGTGGCTGCCTGGGCTGCGCGCGAAGGGGAACTCGCAGGCGGAGGGGCGCTCCCTGGAAGGGGAGGAGAAGGGGGGCCCCGGGCAGTGGGGCGCCCCGGTCCTTAGGCGGGGACAGGGCATCGGAACCCCAGGCGCGAGAGAAGCGTCGCCTCAGCGCGTTCCTTTTGGACTTAAATCTAAAAACCACAAAAATGTGCTGCTTTGCGGGGACGTGTTGCGAGCTGCTCTGACTCCCAGGGGTGACCCCTCCCCTCCCATACCAGCCAAGTCCGGGGCTCCCTTCCCTTCCCCGAAACCCCGCTCCTCCTAGTTTACAGCTTTTTCAAACCCAAGACAGAATGCTCCCTTCTTTCTCTCTCCCCTCCTCCCCCCCCCCCCCACTCCCCCGGCCGGGACTAAGTTTTGGGGCCCCTCCCCGCCATCGCTGGGCAGCGCTGTGAGCTCCAGAGGGTGTGGCGGTCACCCCCTCGCCCCGGCCGGAGTCCCTGCAGCTGGTGCCCAGGCTGCTGTGTGGCGTCCCGGTCTCTCCTAAGGGGTGTGGGAAGGGAACCGGGCGGGATCGGACGCGTTCCTCTTCCTTACACTTCCTTGTCCATTTCCCTCTTCCTAGTTGGTTGCCTCTAAACTCTGCAAGGCTGTGGAGCCGGAGGAACTTGTGCTCCAGGGCAGCCGCATCGTGCGTTTGTTTGCCTGCGGGTTTATGGCTTGTAGCTCACACAACCTTGGGAAAGGACCCGAATCTGAACCCTGGATGGGATTCAATGAACCCTGAACCATTAACTGGGTCCCTTTTCCAGCCCGGTGTGATGCGGGGAAACAGTGTTCTGGATGGCGGGTTAGCTTTGTGCTCTTGGGGAGAACAGAGCTGTCTCACACCACCCGGAAACTGGCGTGGCAGCCGCGAGATAGATGAGGCTGCCTGCCTGGCTTTGAATCTTCTGTGATCTCCTACAGCTGCTCCCACCTTGTGCAAGATGGGACCCTCGGAAATGAAACAGAAAAGGCTTAATTACTTTTCAAGGCAGCGTGGGTGCATCCTTGACTTGCCTTTCCAGAGACAAGTTCTTTTCTTTCTTTCTTTTTTTAAATTCGAAATCCTCTTCTTACCAGATACATGGTTCTTACTCCCAGCTCTGAGTTGTCTTTCCATCCATGCTGTGGTCTGTGGTGCTGTGTGTGTGTGTCTGTGTGTCTGTGTGTGGAGGGACTTGCAGTGGAAGGGCCAGTGACACAGGAAAAGCAGATAACAATAATGCAATTAAATTCTGCTCAACTGGGATAGCATGTTTTGCATGAGCTCTCAGTTACTTTGCTGATTAATAACACATGGTATGAATTAATCCTTAGGAAAACAGTGCTCCGTCATTAACGTGGTTGATTTGTGTTACTATTAAGTCTTGCAGTCACAAATTTAGTAGGTAGACATTTATGGTTCTACACTGTAAGCTCCTTGGGGGCAGTGGCTGGGTGTTGTGGCTACTTGGCTCTGCTCACACACAGTTACTGGATGCGGCTCCTTTTGTGATTGTTTACAATAGTGTAAGCCTATAAAAACAAAACCAAAAAAACAGCAGGCTGACCTTTTTTGAATAGAGACAAAGCTTTTGTTTTGGGAAAAATCTCAGCTTGGGGGCCATTGATGTGGTGTTTAATGTAACTCCTTAGTCAGCTCCAGCTGCTCTTTGAAAATCTACAAGTGGAATTAAAGGGAATGCGCGTATGGGTGGCTAGAAATTCGAAGTTGTGATTTCTCTTCCGGTCAGTTTCTCAAGTTGTATATGCAGTGCTCTCAACTTTGCCTTTCTTCATGAGTGACTTAAGACATCAGCTCAAGCCATTTAATTGTGGAGATCAAGCTGAAAGGACACATTTTACGTTAGCAAGTGTTTAAGTTTATATGTGGAGAAATTCTCTACTCTGAGGCACTGGGAATCATTTTGGCATTATTGAGCCTATGTGGTTCCCCTTCTCCCTCCTGTATCATAAAGATGATATGTGTTTTTGGGGAAAACCAGATAGTAATACAGTACAGAAAATTATGCAAGCACCTCATTGTAAGTATGGCTTACATCAATAATTAACGAGCCATTTCTGGCATAGAAAACAATTCCTCCCCACCCCCAAGCTCTAGAATATTTAATGCACAGGGGAAGAGTAAATAAAAATAAGAGTGACAGAAGTCCATCTATTTGTGGAAAACTTATGAGAGAACACATCTACTCAGCGGCTGTTCCCCCACCCTCAGTCTGTATGAGTTAAATTGTGTAAATAAAAAAAAAAAAATTAGTGGGTGTGAGTGGAAAAGTGAGAGGAGAGAGTAAAAGACTGCTGAATTAAGATCAGTGGAGGGGTAAACTTTAAAATATAACAGTATTTTTATAGGAAAAAAGATTTTTAAATTTTGTGTTAACTGAACTTACTTTAATTAATGACTAGTAAAACATGGATCCAATTCTTAAAGAGCTTAATCCTCCTAAGGAGAGTCTCCCCCCCCTCTCTGGGTGTTGTTTCTGTTACATTCTTTGATGGAAGCATTTCACAAATTGTAAATTTAATTATCTGCTTCAACTTGTGTTTCTTTAGGGTGTATATATTTTATGTATTTTACAGGTAACATTGACCTGTATTTTTGGGGTCTCGTATAAACTAGAGGCCTGATGCATGAAATTTGTGCAAGGGGCTCTGCCTGGCTTAATCTAGAAGGTCGTCCTGATGGTTGTACGGAATGTTGTCTGGACGGTCGTTTGGCTGTTCGGTCTAATTAGCATATTAGGTCTTTATTATATAGAATATCTATGTGGCTCTCCATTATTAAACACTGCCTGATTGTTGGGAACACCGCACACACACACTCACACTCTAATACTCCCATGCCCTTTATTTTCAGAGATGACACTATGAAAGTGGTTTTGGGTGTGGCAAACAACTGATTATCTTTGTTCAAGAGTACCTCTTTCAACTTGACATACTCCTATTACTCACATATTTATGGCTTGCAGTCGCTGTTTGTCCCCCAGTGCCCTTGTCAAAGAGCTGTCCTCAGGATTCTTTTGAGTTTCAGAGGAAAGGATAATTTTAAGCCTTGCATCCCAGCTGCTGTATCTCTGGGATATCAGATATCAGGCTGTTCAGCCAGCAGATTACAAAAGACAGATTGGGAAGTGATGTTTTAGGGCAGTCTCTGTGTTAGATTCTGGGAACTGCTTTGGTATGTGATTAATTTGAATCAGTTTCCTTTTTTTTTTTTTTTTTTTTTTTTTGCTTGCCCTGAGGTTAAATGTGGTTATTTTGCTTTAGGAAGAAGCAGGAACATTTTCTGGGTACCTACTATGAGTACTCGATTGTGCTTACATGTTCTCATGTAATCTTCACAATAACTCCAGCTATCGGCTACATTTTAGTCGTGGAAATAAAGATTACCGAAATTGCCTGAGGTCCTAGGAGATAGCCAGTCTAGGATTTTAACCCAGATTTGGATCTCTGTACCACTCCCCCTTGATTATATTATATTTTCTTAAGCCTAGAACTGGGAAGGAAAAAAAAAAAAAAAAGGGAGGAGGGCTAGCAGTAAAGCTATAAGAAAACCCCCAAAACCCCAAACCCAACTAAAGCAGGTAAATGCAAGGTTCAAACGATAACATTGGCAGACATTTCGTAGATTGGTTAATGTCGGGGCCCTTGATGCTTCTCTCCAGGTGTCAGACAGGTTGGCATCTCCACCGCACTGTTCTGTTCTTAGCGCATGGAGTCAAATGTTCATTTAGTCTCTTCGGTTTTCCTAAGCGGGCCGACTTAAACTCCTTGTGGGGAAGTTTAGGGCTTCCACGTCAGGGGGAAGAGGCAGGGGGAAGACAGTCTGTCAGTGCAGTGCCTACACTCCAAATGTAATTACTTGTGAAAGGGACAAGGAAGGTCAGGGCTTTCCAATTAAGCTGATTTCCCACTGCAAGGTGTTGTTCCCTTTCAACCGCTTCCAAGGAGAGCGCCTGCCATGAAGTCTGCTGAGCAGATGGATGGGTAGCAGTGGAGTGAGGCCATCGTCAGATGCATGCTGATTTGTTTTTCTCACATCCCTTTTCCTGTTGGGAGAGAAGGGGGTGAAGTGTTGTCACTTTGTGCCATGGCAGTCTCATTCTAGGCAGTAAGCCTGAGCTGCTTTATTCCCCAAAGCAGGAATTTATGCCTAGGACTGTGCTAATCATCATTATCTGGGTGCACTCCTCCTCCCTCCCCCTTACCACACAACACACACACACACACACACACACACACACACACACACAGACACACATACACACACACACTAGTGGCCCAGTGCATGAAATTCATGTACATTAAAAGGGGATTAATAAGAGGAAATATTTTAATATTGCTATTTGCCCTTTCTCTATAATAGAAGTGTCAGAGATGAAAGAAAATTAGTAAAATTTATATGAAAATCTTCCTCCTGTCAAAGTCGGGGGTGGGCCGTGGAACCCAGAGTCAAGTCCCGCCCACCCGTGGCGCCTCGAAATCACAAGAGACCCAGCCCCAGCCCACCCCACCCTCATTGGGCCAGATCCAGACCTGGCTG